TTTCTTCAATGGAATCAGGTTTATCCAAAACTGGCTTGAATCCTAGCATACCCAATTCTCCTTGTTTGGGCTCATTAATTTATTAAAATAAGATGTGGGCCATTTAGTGACATGGTGGTTAAGGCATCTGAATCACACATGGCCAACTGCACAGTTAAGAGTCCTGGACCCCTGGGGACCAGCAGGTGGCATGGTGGTTAAGGCACTGGACATTCCCACATGGCCAACCATGGTTCAAGTCTTGGACCTGGTGGCTTGCTTTCTCACTTTCTCTCTCTGTGTGTCTCTTTCTGGTCAAATTAAAATAAATAAATGAATTTTTTTTAAAAAAAAAAGAGTCCTGGACCCAGTAGTTTGTAAATACACTGGGTACATGTGCATGTGTGCCCAAAATCCAGAAAGGAGGGAGAGATGAAGAAGAAGAGATTGCAGCACGACCATGGCCCATGGATGGTGCTTCCTCGCCTCCTCTCCATCTCTCTCCAGCAAGTGCATGAACCCCCAGGCAAAATTTTAAAAAACAAAAATAAATTAAAATCAAGTCCTACGGATTCAGTACATCCCCGATTTTGGCTTACTCCTATCTCTTGCAACTTTTTCTTCACTTACCAGCATTTTGCTCAGTTCACTGTCTATTCAAATGTGGAGGCAAAAAATAAATAAAATGAAGATGAAGATCATCCCCTAATCTTACTAGTGTTTAAGAGACACTGCCTATAATATAGCAGACTCGAGGACAGAGTTGGCCCAATAGTCTTGCCAAAAAATAATCCACAGACAGTATAACCTGACAGTGAGAAGATTTATAATCCTTATTCTATTTATGCATAAGAATTTTTTTAATTCAAATAATAGTAATATAAGAAAATTGGTGTTATAACTATGCCGGGAGTGTAGTGTCAAGAGTTCTGGTAGAAAGAAGGTTCAATTTTCACTTAATGCCAATTTTTATTTTTTGTAGGTTTATCATGTGCTTATGTAAGTTTCATTATAATAAAAAATAAAAAGCAATATTGGCAACATTTATTGCGCATTTACTACATGCCAGGCTTTTTATATGCATTACCTCATTTAGTTCTGCCAATGACTCTAATACAACCTTAAAAAAAGTTTCTCCATTTTATAGATGAAAAAACAAGGGTTGGGAACCAGCAGTTAGCATAATGGCTATGTCACTGGACTCCCACGTAGTCGACCGTGGTTCGCATCCAGGACCCGGTGGCTTAGAACTCATGCCGGGCGCGTGTGCATGCATGCCCAAGATCCCGAGAGGAGAATGGAGGAGAAGGGATTGCAGTGTGACCATCCCCCCTGGGGGGTGATTTCTCGCTTTCTGTCTCTATGTCTCTCTCTGTATGGCTGGCGAGCACACGCGCCCTATAGCCAAAAAAAAAAAAAACTCTCCCAAAAAAAAAAAAAAAAAAGGGGTAAAAAAAT